TTTTTTATCCTACTGATGGAAAAGACTGTCTCTTCTCGTTCTTCTGCACGAACAACAAACAAATGGAGCCATAGACCAATTCAGGACGGACTTCTTGGAGGAGGAGGGGGAAGGGGACGAGGATGGGGGAGAGAGTTTCCTTCAGCTTTACCTTTAGACCCGGACTTTTGTAGAACTGGTGCCTGTGGCGCTAGCCCTCCGTGAATCCGCCTACGAATGGAACAAAATGAAAGTGACGCAAAGTTTAAAAATAAACATACACGCATCGGCATATGTCCCCGGTACATGACCGCAGCGGTGAGATATCGTCCATGTCTGGGATCACATGCCGCCATCATATTCTTCGAATCAAATACCTTAACAAATGAAATGCAATGAGAAGCATTCCTTCAAAAAAAAAAAAAAAAATGACTCGCACACAAAATTCATCGCCTCTCAAAAAAAAGCTTTTAGTGTTCCGAACCGTTCATATTCTTGATTATTAGTAAGGATGTGAAACTATAGCAATTTTAGTTGGACCTTAAAATTTTTTCCTCTTTGTTAGTACTACTGATCTGATTTGGAACCGATACTGTAGAGTGTTGTAGAAGTTTTAGAGATATAATGAATAAGAATATCGCTGGCTAGGAGACTGAAAGAGGACTGAGACCCGAAATCACGTCTATGCGTTAACATATGCAGTTTATTTGGCGTTGCTGGCCCACAATCGTGGAGAGGAAATTTTGATAATTAATGAAAACACTTGGAAGTAGTGCCATTTAGATCTGTAAACCAGTTCTGCAACTCTAATAGGCCTAATAGATGGGTACATGAAGCACCCAATTTTGAGCTATTAGTTCAAATCCGTTAATGGTAAAATCACTTTCACTGGTGTATATATATCAATTCATTTCACTGCAGACTTTTATATGTTTAATCTACGATTCACTGCAATAACAAGAAAATTACCAGCACTTTTGTCAGTTTGTGACAAAGTTTTATTAGTCGGATCACTTCCAAGCACATCACAAAGAAAGCAAAGTGCAAAAAGGGATTTGACTCTGGTTACAACGCTCATTTTCCAGAACTGATTGAATGCAAACATAAGCAAAATTCGAAAGAGGAAGCCATCAACTTTGGCAACTTGATCTACACCTATGTACGGGCTCCTATCCTCAAAATGGACGCTCACACCCATACGGTCCTCAAATTCGGCCTGGTGAAAGCTCTTTCGGCGGGAAAGCGAATTCGGGAACGGCGCAAGCTAGAAGGCTGAAATTTCATGAAGATGTTCCCTGGCCAGGTCCAACTCAGCAATTAGTTGCTGCTGAGGCTACCAATCACTCAGACTTAACATGAGTGCCTGCGCCTCTACACGCAGCAGATACGGTAGGGATTTTGACCCGTTTTTGAATATAATTCGAACAGATGTCACATCCAGAACAAGTATATGTTGCTTATTCCATGCAATATATAATCAAACTGCTGTCGGTTAATTCAAAAGAATGAGAAGTGCTTGCAACCCTCCTCCCCTTCCACTCCCTCGGTATTCACTTCCCTATGATGAATTAAGGCATTTCTATCACTAACTTGAAAAACAAAAAAAACCCACTAATAGAAAAAAATTCAAAATTGCTTGTGTTTTTTTTATAAAAAAAGTACAAACGCACTAACCTGCTGCGTTAGTTCGGACACCGTGAATGAACGATAAGCAGCGGAATCACGTGCAAACAGCGGAGCAAATCCAGGGACGAAGAAATGTAGGCGCGGGAATGGGACCATATTTACCGCAAGTTTACGTAGGTCAGCATTTAACTGACCCGGGAAACGCAAGCATGTCGTTACGCCGGACATAGTCATTGAAACTGAAATTGTCAGACCATATTTGTGCAGAACATTAGAAATTTTCAACAGCACTGAAAACAAGATTTTTTAAGGCACCGTTAAAACTTGACTTGTTAATCCTTGCCTTTTCTTTTTGGGTAATCGGAAAAAAAAAACAGCTGCTTGAAATTCAATTCGAGCGATTTACAGAAATCATCTCACTCGCCCTTTTTTAGATAACCAAAAAAACAGCCGTATGATGCAATTCGAACGGTTCATACAAAACATAGAATCATTCCGAATTGTCAAAAAAAAAAAAAA